CAGGGAAGCCTATATGGTTTGGCTTGGGGTTTTTAATGTATGTATGTATAGATAGATACGAAATCTGTATATACAGATCGGGGGGGAAAAAAGGTGAAAACCATTTGGCTAAAAGCGTCACCTAGATTTTGTGGCATCAGTGGTCTCCAGTGACCACTGTCAGTCAGAGGGGGAGCAGCACCTTCTTATCTTGTGCCATTTTCCACGGGAGACCTCAAAGGCTGCTGTGATTTGCAGCACTGACTGGATTTCTGCATCTGGGAATGACTGGCTAGAGGAAGGCTCTCAAGCTGATATGCAGTGACGGAAATAAAAACATTCAGCAAGCTGCAATGACTGTGTTAGATGGGGCTTGGTTGAGCATGAATGGGGCAAGCTTGTCTTACCATGTGTTAGATCCATGTGGTGGGAGTTGCTCTGCAACCTGGCTAATGCTCCCAGAGTGGCTCTCTCCTGTTTCCCTGCAGTTGCATCATTGCTTTGCCCAAGCTGTTGCATCTGTCCCCAGTCCCGTTTCTGACACACTGTGAATGCTTGCGTTTCTGCACACTGGGGAGGAAAGGGAAGACACAGACAGCAAAATGCAGAAGTGTTTCCTTCCTGGATCAAGGAAGGGTTTTGACTGAGTTCACAAGTTTATTCCAGTTTCACTTCATTACTGTCTAGCTTGTGGTTCATAGCTGAGTGTGGGAGTCTGCAGTAGCCACCTCTAGAGGGACATTTCTGAGTGCACCCTCTGTGGTGATGCTGGAAGGACACAAAGTGCTGAGGTTGTAGTTTCTTCTGAGCCTGCACTGCATCTGCTCAGTTTGATTCCTCAAAGGCATAAAGACCCATAGGAGAGGAGGATCCTCCTCCTGCTTCCCATGCTTGTCTTCCTCCTCTGCCGTGCCAAGAGTATTCCTGTTTATCAAAAAGGAGGAAGGTGGTTTTGTCTTTGAGACAATCCTGATATCTCCTTTCACTATGTTCTCCTTGAGCTTTGCAGAGGAATTTTTACCCAACAGCAGTTGCAAAGGTGGCTCACTAAGACTCAGACCATTGTTCTTGGTACAAGTCTACATTAGTTTCCACCTAAGTGACACTTCCAGGTTGCCCAGACAGAGGCATTCACTGGCAGCAGGATTGGGATTCATTGGCATCTTTGTCTTGCAAAAACATCAGGAACTGAAGGCAGACCTTGTCTCATCTTTCTGTTCCAAATCCAGTTACAGGTAAAACTTATCCTGATAAATAACCTAAGTCAAAAATGTCTTTTTTCCTCCTGAAGGAGGTAAGGTGGAAATTTGCTTTAGTTTTAATAGCCAAAGGCAAGAACTCTACTTGCTTAGAGTACATGTCTTCCTGCAGTCATACATTCTGCTTCTTGGGGGATAAAGGATGATAAATAATCTCAAAATTCCTTTTTTCTTTTACTTAAGGTGAAAAATGGTACTTACTGAGTCAGTTGGAATCAGCTGCATCCATTTCAGTGGTGATTTTCCATTTGTTGTATCCAGCAACCCATCAATATCATTCCTAAATGAATATTTCATTAAGGAATGCAGACAGAAATGGAAGGCAGTAATTATTTACCTGATTTGGAGCTGGAACATTTCACCCAGCTTCTTCCAGGAAAAGAATTAGTGTAAGGTGTGACCTCCATATCACTCAAGCTGGAGATTTTTCTTAACCAAAGTCCAGCTGATGCTTTGCCTTCAGTTCATGATATTCCTTACTGATGAGCACTGCAGGCTCAGTCTCCCTCCAAGGGAGAGCTTTGTCCAGCAGAACTCTTCCAGCAGTGGATCACAGCATGTCTCTAGGAACAGGAAAATCCACTTGACTATTATGATGCTTGTGTGGGAGGAGTAAAAGACCTTTCAAAAAACAGATGAACTTTCTCTTCTCCAGCTGTATTGGCCCATTGCATGCTAAGTACTGTTTAAGTGATGGGGCACAGTTCTTTATCTTAAAGCACATTATTAACAGCATCAGTGTAAGCACTCAACAATCATCCTGTTGCTTCAATGTGAGACAAAGCACCCTGAGTATTTTTAATATTTTTTTCCCCAACAACCAGTCTAAGATACAGAAAAAGAAAATTGTCTTGAGGCAATGGACTCAAAGTTGCCCATCAGGGGAGTGTGTGATAGAAATCTGTTGAGGATGGCAATTGAGTACAAAGCAGTGCTGCAGTCTAGCTCTTCACTGTTAGTAGCTGGATCAATGGAAAATATGGGGATGAACTTCTGCTGGTTGTAGCAATGTTGCAAATAAGTCATGAAACCTTCTGGTGACTGTCTCACGAATTCAGACTTTAATTTTTACATCATCAGGCATGCATGAGCAAGCATGATATTTTAGGCTGGATAAATGCTCCCATGCATGACCCATGCTTCAGAGCCTGGCTGCAGCTCTGAGTATAAACATAACCCCCTCCCAGGCAGCTAAGTGTGATGTTTTGCTCTCCTATGTCTTCTCTAATTAAACCAGACTTCTTGTATGCTCTGTGGCACAGTCTTCTGCACAGAAAGAAACAGAGAGTAATAAATACTCTATCTATTCTACTATCTACCTATCTCTGAAGTATTTAAATGAGAAAGCTGTCTGCAGTAGTCTTTGAAAACAGACCATTATGTTGTATGAAAACAGCAGTTTTTCCCTCCAAAATCAAATGATCCTAGCTAAAATCAGAAAGAGGATGTGGTGGAACTACAAGCAATTCACTCTTTAAAAAATGGATTTAGAGTTTGGTATTCCCTTACTAGGATCTGAATAGCCTATTCAGATAATGTCTGGATATAAATGCTAGATATAATTGCTAGATAGAAATGCTGAGAATGACTAATCAGCAAATTGTACTCTTAGGCTTGCCCAGACACACATTCTAAAAGGAAATTATTGCTATTAAACATTTTCCATTTAATGACTTGTGTTTTCAGCTCTTGGAGGCTGCTTGACAAAATGAGAATAAAAAAGTCAGTAGGTAACTGAGAAGTCAGTTCACAAGCAAGCTCAGAAATGGTGCAATTGAAGTCTCTAGTAGTCATTATGTACCTGGAGATTACCATCATCATTTCCAGCACTGCAGCTGAGCTGGCTGTGAAATTATGACTGCTTATGATTTTTTCAATTATTGTTTCCAACAGCTGAAATAATTTTCAGCCACTGTTTTGTTATGGGCATCTTGTTCCTTCAGTTCTTTCCTATCCACTGTTATCCTTCAAACAGCTACCTCTCCCAGTATTTCCTGGCCCAGATTTCAAGAGATCTTTAGAAAGTAGTTAAACTTCTGGATTGCTTTCACCCCTTGAACCCCTGTTTGAACATAGCCACTTGCTTGAACCCTTTCATTTTTTTCTTTTTAAGTCATCCAAATTTAGGCCTTTTGCATGAAAGCTCAGTATCCTGACCCTCATGGTAAATATGAAAAGACAAATATTGTGCATGCAGCACTGGTTCCCTTACCAAAACGCATATGTATGTTGTCACAGCACAAAATAATTTTTATCCCTGCATCTTAGACTGGGATCAGGATATTCAAAAGGTTATAATCGCTTAGGTTAAGAAACCCGCTGCTTTCTTGTTCCTTTCTCCACAATAGGAGCTCAAAAGATTATTCTTTTTTTCATTATTCTTAATCCAATTCTTCAGTGGAAATGGACGTTCTTTTTATTGAATCCATTTATTTAATTGCTGCTTCTGGAAAGCTATTTCATGGCCCACAAGAAGTTAGAAAAGCTTGGATATTTTCCTTTTGATTGGGTTATAAGGTTTGCTGTGGGGAAGGTTGGTGCAGAAGTCATCTGGAAATCTGCTCTTATTGTTGCACCCACCTCAGTTTATGCACTCTGATACCCAGAGGGAGGAAAGGAGCTCCTCACCTGTGTGGAACAGCTCAGTGTCAGACATTTTGCTATGGAGTATTTTTTTCTTGGCCCATAATATCTGAGCTCTGTCTGTCACTGGTCTCTCTTATGACATGTTGATAGCCATGGAAAATCTTTTGATGTGTGCCTTCAAACTCTGTTCCTGGAGGCACTGGATGCAAATAGTAATCTCAACCCCCTGCTCCCTTGCCTCCCTGGTTATCACTCTCTGTTTGTTGCTTGTGTTTGGGACAGCTGGGCAGGACAGAGCAATCTTGCAGTAATAGATGTAACCACCTTGAATGATCTTGGTTTCACCCCTGAGCAGAGAGTGCTGGGGTTTATTCCTTAGAGGAATTTCCGAGTGTGAACCTTTAGGCTGAGCTGCAGAGCCTCCCTGAGAGGTGGCTCTGTTCCCAGAGAGGTCCCTGTGTGGCCACCTGCTCTGCCTGTCTCCCATTGATTTTCCCTCCTGAAAGACAAGCACTGACTGCAGGCCCACTCGGACTGGTGCTGCTGAGGAAGCAAGGGAAAATGAAAGGAAGAAATGAGGTTTTGACTCCAGGCACTGAGGGCAACTGTCATATTTTTTTTTCCTCTGACACCCGAGTGGGAGTTGGCTGGGATCTGTCAAGCTTCAAGTTCTCACACATTTGGTAAATATTTAGGGTCTGACTCACCACTGAATCACTCCCATTATTTTTTTTAACTCTGTTCAGAGGAATGGTTCTGCCACTTAGACAACACCGACCCTCTGAGGTTCTCTCACTTTTTGTACTCTAGCATCTCATGGTCATGTGTGCCTGTCCTCACAGTACCACCTTCAGGATGGGGAGATGGCGTCAGCCCTGGCTGGCAGAGGGGCTCAGAGGCACACTGGTCGCAGGCACCCAAGTTCATCTCTGACACAAAATCCAAAACTGGCCAAAAGCTCCAGCCATCAGCTGGTGAGACCCTGGCTCCTTAGTGTCTGGTGGGTCGCACACCAGCCCCTGCTGCTGCCTGGGGGTCATTTTAGTAGCTGCACTACTTGTATTGCTATACCTGGGAGAGCTTCTGTGGAAATCAGGAAGAGCAGAAGAGCACAATTCCCCCCAGAGATGACTGTGATCAGTGTTTTGTACCTACAGACCTCTGCTTTCATTGCAGGTAGAAGACAGCATGATGGATGTGTATGATTTTGTGTACGAGGAGGTGAGGAGGAACACCTCCAGCTTCAGGAGGCACGAGCTGACTGCCATCCATGAAGCAGTAAGTTGTCTTTTACCTGCAGGAAAAAACCTTGCCCTGGGGTATCTTCCTGAGGGCTTTGGCAGGCTGGGGCTGACACCTGTGCTCTGTCTCGTGAATGCTGCAATGCCATTTTCCCTCAAGAACTGAGTCCTCCAGCCTGCTGTGAGTCTGTTCCTCTCTTTTTATTCTTCCTTTCTCATATCTGACCAACCAGATTACCAACAAGAACAAAGGGCCATCTTTCTGAGCATCACTGTGGTGCAAGACCTACAGAGCTTCTGCCCTGCAGCTGCCATAGTATTTTCTGTCTCAGCAGCCCCTGTGAATTGCTCCCTATCTGTGGTACAAGATATGCACCTGGTCAAGTAGAGATGAAGGGGCAGGAATTCCACATAGTCAAGCAGTAGCATTTTCATGTGGTTGTCCCTATTTATCCTCAAGTTTGTGTCTGAGGAGTACTGGAGGCTACATGGCCTCTTACAGAGCTGGAGACTGCTGGCAGGCTCCCAAAAACCACTACCCAGGATGCTGTTGGTCTGCGTAGCTCAGCAGGTAGTCAAGGGTGGTTACGTAGAGCACAGGGAGGACATTTGCCCCCAGAGCCACAGGAGATGAGTGAGGATGTCCCCCACAGTGAGAAACTCCCGAGTCCCTGCGGAGTAAAGGAGATGCCATTCCCTTGCACAGCAGGGCTTGTTTGGGGAGTGAGTTCATGGCACACACAGGGCTGGATGGGGAGGTCAGCCCTGCTCAGTTGTTTCCAGACACCTCCCACACAACTCCCTGTATCCTTCTATATTTTCTTAAATCATCATAACAAGTACTTTTCAAATCTATTTCTATCTGTGCTTCTCAAAACACAGAAGAGGTCAAATGTTCCTTTTTGCAGTGGTGGTGGTGGCCCTCAGAGCCATGCCCAGGCATGGAAGTGCTTGCTCTCAGGGTTGTGGAGCAGCACGCCCAGGGTCCCATTTGACAAGGAGAACCAGGCACAATGTCTGGCTTCACCAGTTGCTTATTTTAGTTGCTACTTGAAATGATGGAGAAGCAGTCTTTCTACTCATGGGTTTTTTTCCCCTTCTGCCAGAGTTCCAAACTGTGCAGTGCACCACAGCTGTAGGAAACCAGCTCCCTGGTGGGTGTTGCTGGGCATCCCCTCAGCCCATAACAATTACTGGAAACATGAGTCTGCATCCCTGGGCTTTCTGGAGCAGCCACTGGGAGCATTAATATGACCACAGAGGAAGGGCTCGGCCCCACTCCCAGGCAGCAGTCCTGGGGGAGCATGAGCAAGTTTGAGGCCAGATCCATCCACCTCCCCTGAATTTAGCTTGCATTGCTGCAGTTGTTGATTCCTACGTGCTTTGCTCCTTGCCACCCTGGTTGGGTAGCCCTGCCTGAGGCAGCAGGGTCACATTGCCAGCACCTCCTGCTGCAGCAGCTGGTAGCAAGGGGAGAGCCCTGGTGAGCAGCTGGCTGACTTCTCCCTCTCTTGCAGTTCCTTTGCTGTGGGAAGCACTCTCCTTTTGGGGACACAACCGATGTTGAGAACAAGACATGCCCACCCAACCAAGTGCATGATGAAGGACAGGTAAGGGAAAGGATTCTTCCACACCATAGTGGGGTTGTGCCTCTACTTTCTAGCTATCAAAACCTCACTTGTGCTAAAGTGTTAATGAGAATTGTGCTTTTTGATGGTTTGGGGTTGAAACAGATTGGGATTTCTTTTGCTGGGGTTTTGTTTTTTCAATAACACCGGACACAGTATGGGAGTAGTGCTCCCTATTCAGCTCTAGGGTCCAGCACAGGAAGGGCATTGACCTGGTGGAGCAAGTCCAGAGGAGGCCACCAATATGATCAGAGGGATGGTGCATCTCTCCTACGAGGAATGGCTTAAAGGATTGCTTTTGTTCAGCCTGGAAAAGAGATGGCATGGAGGTGACCTAATTGTGTCCTTCTAGAAAAGGAGAAAGATGTGAGAAAGATGGAGAGGGACTTTTTGAAGGAGGGTGCAATGACAGGACAAGGGGGAATGTCTTGAAACTGACAGTAGTTTCAGATTAAATAGTGGGAAAAAATTCTTTACTGTGAGGGTGGTGAGGTACTGGCACAGGTTGCCCAGAGAATTTAGAAATTCCCCATACGTGGCAGTGTTTAAGGCCAGGTGGGATGGAGCTCTGAGCAACCTGGTCTAGGGAAAGGTGTCCCTGCCCATGGCTGGGGGGCTGGAACTGGATGGGGTCTTTAAGGTCCCTTCCAACTCAAATGATTCTATGATTCTGTGAATTAGGAGGAAGAGCCCTGGCAGATCAGCAGGTCTCAGACCCACAGATGCAGTTTCCTTCACTGTTTTAAAAAGCCTTCAAAATGCTTGTGTTTGCAGCTTGTCACTTCCCTCCAGCTTCCTGCTCATCTCCTGTGCTTGCAGAGAGTGTGAGATATCACAGGCATGTATCAGAGCACAAAAAACCCTGACTTTTCCACATGACACTAATTTCTGACACTTAAAATGTGTTCCAGTTAACAGCAAATGTGGAATTTGATGTAATTCCTTTTTCTCCAGGGCATTAAATAGGTATTAAAATGAGAAGCTCATGAAGCAGGCTGTGATGCCCAGCAGGAGCTTCCTCCAGTACGCTTCATTCTGGCTCTTTCAAGTATCTCAGTGAGGCTGCTGGAGAAGCCACCAGTATTAGACTGTAGTGTGCTGAAACTACAACTTCATAGTCTCTGAGCCTGTCTGTGGCACGATGATGTTTCTTCCACCGGAGTTGCTAAAGCCACCAGCATCAATATATGGTGTTGAAAGACCAAAACCACAGCGCTGCAGCGATACAAACACGTTGTCAGGTGAAGATGTTGAGCACTAGCAGCAACCGTGGTGCACGGGCGCACGGCAGCCCGCAGGGCCAGCGTGTCAAAGCACAGCCTCCAGGAATGTCACATCCCAGGACAGGGTGGAACTCGGCTCAAAGAGCAGGAAGGGAGAGCAGAACAAAGCTGGGCACTGTATGGGCGACTCATTCCTCCCACTTAGTGGTCTGTTTCCCTTGCTTGGGAGCCGGGGAAGTGAGTGGGAGGATGTGCTTTGTGTGACACAGGAAACCACAGAGGCTGGTGGCCACACTACGCTCACTCCTGGCTTTGAATGCTCTTTCCTTGTCCTGCAAATCCCTTCATTAAGGGCATGCTCTTGCATTTCTGAAATGGCTGTCTTGGCTAACACCTCGGGGATTTCTGTGAGGCCATTGGTATGCTTAAGGCTAATGTATATTAATGCTTGCAGCACCTCGCAAAATCGAGCTGTTCATTTAGTAACCTCGGGGAATGCATTTGGCATCACACTGTGCTCTGCTTTTCTATCTTTCCACTTCCTTCTTTCAATTTTTCAGTGGGTGAAAAGAAAAAAGCTTTTGCTTGACCACAGTTAAGCACACATCCTCCACAGTCCAAAATGCACCACGCCAATAAAATTGTAGGCGTGTTGTAGTAACAGAAAAAATACCACAGATGTTTGCCTTCCCAAGCTGCAGCAGCAGCATAAGAAGGGAGAACTGCCCAGCTGTGCAATGCTGCACCCCTTTCTTGCCTCCTTTTCTCTCTGAGGCTGTGGAAGCGCTGTTGTTGGGATAAAGCCCCCCGCCAAGCTGCTGCTGTGTTGCAAGGGGTATTTGTTTCTCTCTTCCCAGGACTGCCTGCGAGAGATCCAGGACTTTCTGAAGAAGCACATGGACTTTGTCTTCTCGCTCCTGGGCATCGCCATTGGCTTCACGGTAACAGTGTCTGTCCTGTCACATTTTGGCCCTGAAAGGCAGGATACAGTATCCTGAATTAGTATTCTGATTAGCCCCCAGAAGCTAGAATTTTGGGTGATTTTGGATGCTAGCAGCAGAGAAACAAGCAATGGTGGACTCCACTGTGGAAACTGGGAAAGGGTCAGGAATCTGGCCAGGCTGATAGGTGGAGGGGTTTTCCTGCAGGAAGAGACTCGCTAGACAGTTTTTGTACCCTAACAAGGCATGGCATTTGGGAGTGGGGAGCAGGATGCAGCAGCAGTTGCATTTCATCTACTCAGGCTTGCCTGCATGACTTCTCCTGTGAGTGAGAGGCCATGTCACCTCGCTGGGGCCTTGTGGATTATGTAGGAAGCCAGCAGCAATGGCAGAAAAGGAGAAGCAGTAAACCCTTTGTATTTTAGAAAACTTGCTACCTCCTAGATCAGCCTGGGAAGCTGCTTGTGCAGCAAGAGCTGGAAGATCTTGAAAGCTACTGAGCACCAGCAGTGGAGCTAGAGAGCTGTGCAGAAGGGGAAGGTCTCATCCTATTAATGATCACTATATGAATCTGATGAGGTTCATCTCAATCAATGTGTGGGTAAATCACAGGCTCATAAGGAGCAGGTTGCAAAGGAGAGGGAAAGAGTGTGTTGTCTGGGCTCCCAGGTTCTGTCTTTGAAGGAGTAACATGCAGAGGAGGGGTGAAATCATCTTCAGATGATGGCTCATGTAGAAAGGCTCTGCAGTGAATTTTTGGGAGAACAAAAGAGAAGATTAAATGCTGCAAGAGAAGCATGTCTTTCAGTGGTGAGGGGGCTCTGGGGCTATATGGGGATGGTCTCTTTGGAGCTGGAGCAGGCCACTAGTTAAAACCAGCCTTCTTGTTTGCCCACCCACTGTGTGACAGAGGTGTATCACTGTAATTACCTGTACACAAGGACTCTGAACGTGTGGTGATGCACACCAGAAAAGAGCATGTGCCAGGAGACTCCATTCTCCACCATGAAGGAATGATATCACCATGATGTGACATCTCCATGCTGCTCCCCAGCTGCGATGACCTTTCTTATTGAAAGTGTATTTGGAGATTGTTTTATGCCTTGTGTCCACCTTGGCACATTTATGGATTAGAAGAGTCTTCTCCATCTAAAGAAAACCCAGAGGAACAAACTATTTGTATTTTATAGCAGTAAAGTAGGAAAACGTTCAGGCATTGCTATGGAGCTGTAAATGTGAAGTCATTTGTGAATATTTGGTGTCACTTTCCAATTTTTCTCAAGTATAAGGAGAATTTCACTGCAGCTATATTCAGATAAAAGCTGGAGCACTTTTATAACAGATACACTTTTTTCACAGCTTGATGCTATAGCCAGATAAGGCAGCTGTCTTTGAAGCCTGTGCTAGAGGAAATCTCGCCGCGCAGTTCGCTATTGTGATGGCAGGATGCAAGGGAAGCACAAAAAGAGGACTAGAGCTGCTCTGATGTCACTGTCCCTCAGCCAACAATGCTCACACATCCCCAGATCAAGCTGCAAGCAAAGGCATTAGCACATTAGGGCATACTTGAAGAAAGAGCACATTGTTACAGCCCTCATTATCCTTCCCATAGCAGCCTTACCTTGGATATGTAGCCTGTGTTAATCCTGATGTGTGATACACTAGGCAGAGTATCACAATACAGAGGAAATACACTGTCCTCTGCATTCATAACTGTTTGGGGTTGGTTTAGGCGTTTGTCTGTTTGTTTGTTTTGTTGGGGTTTTTTTCTTCAAACAAGACATGGGTGTTGTGGTTTTTTCTCCCTATGGTATCTTTACAAAAGGCTACTATTATAAGAGGTATGTTTGTTTGCATAGAGGAATGTTCTGTGGCAGGAGTTAAATCTGAATTTCCTGGTTTCATCTTATTTCTTGGTATTTTTAGGGCCAGGTTTGAGCTGTGCTATGCTAACTCCAATCAGATGTTTTAACCATGTGTTGCTTTGTTTTTAAACTTCCATGTCAGAAATGGTGTTCAGCACTTCACTGAAAACAGCTCTGCTCAGTAAACTGTGACAACAGGCAATATTTATGATTGCTTATTTGCACAGATGGAGCATCATAATCAGTTATACACTTAATGCCTATCTCATTTATTTCCTTTTAGGTTTATGGGATGTTCCTAACTTCATTCCTCTGGTTCTCCATCCACTTCAGCAGTAACCTGTACCGGAAAGGCAAATATATCCTGCGAGAGAGGTAGAAACCTGATGCCTGGGCATCCCTACCAGGCAGAGCCAGCTCTTGGCACAGGAAGAGCTCTGAAGTCACCCACAAAATGCCCTGGGAAGGTATTGAGTGGGGTCAGATGGTGGGATATGTGTCACACATTTCCCCTGTCCTGCACTACAACTGGGCTCAGAGATGCAGATTCCCTCGATGGGAGACATACGGGCTGTGGCTCCACAAGAAGGACACAAGGAGTTCTTTACAACCAAATGGAGAGAAAAGCCCAGCAAAAATCACAGCATTAAAATAAACTTCTCTTGTGCTGTCATCTGAGCAGTTCCCTGTGAACCCCAAAGATGCAATTTTCCTAGGAAGATGGCTTTGGATCGCAGCCCAGGATCAACGTTGCACTATCAGTAAATAAATGACAGAAGTGTGTCACTACCAATGGGAAATGTGCTCTCCCAGCCTGGACACTTCCAATGATTAACTTTGGCATGTTTCTGATAATGCTGGATGCTACATAGACATCCAATGACTATCAGCTAGTTTTCCCATTTTCAAATGCTACCAAATTTATAGAACTTTTGGTAGAGATCAGGACAAAAAGTCAGAAAATAGTGAATGAGCTTTGAAACAACTGACCAACAGAAGGACATGTTTCTGTTATTCCTCTTTGCTAATGCAACACAACTTTTTTTTTATTATTATTAGGATTTAGACAGCCTCCTAAATCTTGATGCCACACTGATTTCACATGGGCTTAAGCCACACCTGTGTCTAATGCTGGGCCCCTCAGTTTAGGAAGGATGTTGAGATGCTCAAACATGTTCAGAGAAGGGCCAGAAATCTGGTGAGGGGTCTAGAGCACAAGCTCTGTGAAAAGTGGCTGAGGAAGCTGGCGTTTAGCCTGGAAAAAAGGACTCTCAGGATGACCTTATTTATCACTCTTTACAACTGCCTGAAAGGACGGTGTAGCCAGGTGTTGGTTGGTCTCTTCTCCCAGGCAACCAGTGACGGGATGAGAGGACACAGTCTTAAGCTGTGCCAGGGGAAGTTTAGACTAGACATTAGAGAAAAATTGTTTACAGAAGAAGGGATTGAACATTGGAATGGGCTGCCCAGGGAGGTGGTGGAGTCACCATCCCTGGAGGTGTTTAAAAAAAGACTGGACGTGGCACTCAGTGGCATGGTTTAGTTGATAAGGTGGTGTTAGGTCATAGGTTGAACTTGGTGATCTCCAACCTGGCTGATTGTGTGATTCTGTAACTTCCGGCCCCAGCTCTATGTTTATCAGGCTTTGCTAACCCCCTGTGCTCTTGTGGTAAAAGGACTTTGATATTACACACACAAACAGAAGTTTAAATCTATAAGAGAACAGGACTGATCTCCAGCCAGGTCAAACAATACAATGTCCAACTCCACGTCCTTTTTACATCACTTTATCAATAATAAACAGAATTTGTAAAAGGCTGTCAGTCTAGCTGAAACAACAGCTCCCTGGCTTGCCATGTCCTCATGTTGAGGAGGCAGAGCAGCTTCTGAGCTGAAACCCATCATTGCAGTATATGTAGCTGTAAATTATACAGCTGTGTGAAATGTCTGTTGAGCCAGCAACAGCTTTCTCTTCTTTGTACATAGTGGGTTTTAGGCATGAAAAATTGTAAGTAGCAATTGTTTACTGAGATAAACGTGGGCAACTCTGTGCTGATGTTCAGGACAAGTCCTGGCCCTCTGGCAGGGGCTGCTGCCTGTACAAGAACAGCAGTACAGCCTACAGCACCTGGCTGGCATTTTAACCTGGGCTGCAAATACCTTGCATTGGAAAGAGTTGTTGTGCAGGGCTGAGGGAAGCTGTCATTTCTCATTCCACACCCTTGGAACCAGCAGAGCTTCACTGCTGACTTCACTGGAAGCAGGATGAAGTTCAAACTGCCCCAGTGTATATTCAAGCTACCTCCTGGCAGTCACCAACACACCTTAGTCTGGCAGGAAATTGGGTATGATATGCACTTTCTAGTGGGGAAGTATTCACTTACACATGTATATGTATCATCACATTTATTGATCTCTGGAAAGAGACCATCTCCTTTGTGAGCTCCAGCTGCTGCTGTCAGGCTACTGCTATTGTTATTCCTCAGGCCAGGTGGTAGCTCATATGACTCATGGTTGCTTCAATAAAGATAAATTTCTTGCAAAAGGCCATCAATCCTCCTCTTTTTTGTGCCATGCATGAAGCTGCCTGCATTGCTTGGGGGTTTACACCATGGGGGGATTCAGTAATTGTTTCAGTCCTGGGAAGAGATATTCCCCAGGCAGCTTGTGCTTGCCAGTCCCAGCAGTGTGCTGAGGGAGAGGATAGCCTTGGTCCTTTGGAGGAAAAGGAGCAGCTCATCGACCTTGTCCCATCCTCAGCCAGCTGATGGGCCAGCAGGCTGGCACCTCTCGGGGAGTAATGCAAGCAGAAGAAGGAAAAATGCTTAAGGATGTGTTTAAGCTGTAACAATCAGAGTATTTATATGGAAAAATGTCTATGGTTTCTCTTTTTTAAGGATTAGGTAGTCAGGTCTTGCACACTGCTCTGCATTGGTTAGTTAACTGCTGATATTCTACCACATCAAAAAGCATCATGGACAAATTGGTGGAGTCAGTGTCATCAGTGTGGGTTACCTGCTGAAGCCTCATCAACAGGTACAAAAAAATCTCTGTTAAAGCATCACCACCAGGACTGCTGAAGCTTTAGATGTTCTACCTTCCCAGGTCAGTTTTTAATGTAAAGGCATAGTTGTGGACAGGAGTACATATCTAGGATGAAGGTATCTGCTTTTCTGCTCCTAAAGATTACAGAGGGATGTCATTGCAGGGTGGCAGGAGCCCCTGCTGCTACACACAACACAAGCTCTGGGAGAAGAGTGTGTCCAGCCACTGGCCTTCTAGTGAGCTTTAGTCCTATTTCACTGGCTGCTGGAGCTCCCCTGCAAGGAGCAGCACCTCCAACAAGGAGGTGACAGAGCCATGCCTAGTTGGACACGCTCTTCTCCCAGTGTTTGTGTTGTGTGTAGCAGCAGGGATGTGATGGCATCCCGCTGTGATTTTCAGAAGCAGAAAAGCAGATCCCTTCAGCTCCTTGATTTTTAGAAACCTGTTATAGAAGTGTGCAGTGTTAACATTTTGTTCACAGTTGTAGAAGTGGCAGCACCGAGGGATGGCTGGATGGAACCTGCAGGGTGGGTGAGTGTTAAACAGTGTTTTTACACCTCTGCCAACAAAAAAAATCCTTGTTCTACAATGAATGTTTTTGCACTTACTACTCCCTAATTTTCTGCTGGCTAGGGGCAAATTACAGCTCTTGTGTGACCAGAGCAAAACCCCAGGAACTTATCAATAAGTAGTGCCAAGATTTGCACAGTGTTGAGAAGAGTGAGAGAGAGATTTTCGTGGGAGAAGAGCATGGAGCTGAGCACGGGGGATGCAAGCTAGCAGCCAGACAAGGAAACACCTGCAGAGCAGTGAGCCTTCCTGGGGCTTGCTCTAGAGGAAGCTGTTTGTTATAAGCATGTCAACACTCACACTCTGCTAGGAAAGAAATCCTCTTTATGTAGTCATATATGGGAGAAAAAAAAATAGAATTTTCAAACCACAGGTTCAAAGTTAAATATTTAGTTGTGAATTGGCTCCAGCTACTTTTCAATTAAGTTGCAGCAATTATCAGTTATTTCCACTAAGATCATCTGGGCGGTTGCAGTCTGCCTCTCTCTGAGCATGCCTTGGCTTCTGCTCATGAGTTACTTTTTTCCTTTTACTTTAGACAACCCCCAGCTCTGTCTGAGGCCACAGGAAGAGGGACCAGCATAAGGCCAGGTTGCTCTGGCCTGTGTGGCCACCTTTGGGGCTACCTATAAGCCTGTGGGGCTGGGGAGCATCAGCCCATAGGAGCAGCAGGCACCTTTTGTGCTGCTCTCCACCCTTCACTGCCCATGCACTGCTCAGGCACTGCTCTGCCAACAGGAGCATTAAATTCCATAGAAACCCTATATGGGGCTCACCATATGCTCATGGCTGGACTGACCACAGCTTGCTTATGAGACAGAGGAGCTTTTCCAGCTTTTCCACTCACTCTGATGGCAGTGGATGATGCTTAGAGCACTTGTGGAAAGCACTGGTTAAATAATACAGTAACTCTCTACAGAGATTTGGTGGTGAGGAGAGTGAGAATCTTTCAACCTTGTGGTGCGCTGTCTTGACTCCAGACTGGTTTGCTATTTCCTGCCCTTTTAACCCTGCATTAGAGAGTTTCTGCTGTCCTTGAAGGACAACTTCCTCATGCAGCAACCCCTTCAGTGTGCAGCTTGGATTGATGCCTGCAGCATGCTCCTAGAGAAGACACTGCTGAGCAAGTCCTTGCAAAGTCCTAGAAGCTGGCAAATCTGGGTGGAGCCTTGCAGTGCTGGAGTGTAAGGAAGCCAACTCCTGCCAAGGTAAAGCTGTGTTTATAAGCTGCAGACATACAAATATTTTTCAAAGTAATAGTTGATAGACAGATGTTTTTCTAACCAGATGCAGAAGTAATGCATTTGGAAAAGCAGCTGGCTATAATTCTCCTCTAGAAATGCAGCCAGAGGTGGAAGATGCCCCACACAGATCTCAGCCAGCACAGCTGAAAGCAGTTGAGGTCAGAAGCTGCTGTGAATACACAGTTAGATCACACACATCCTGCAACTTTCACATGAAGGGTCATTGCAGCTCTCTCTGTTCGTAAAATGCAGTTGGGGAGAAAAGTGATCTATTTCTTAACTGTATACTTCCTCTTCTGGGAGAATGAGCAACTGGCAGCAAGAATCAAACCTGCCCACTGAGAGATGTAACAATGTGTGGGACAGAGGGGAAAAACCAGGGGGTGAAGAGGAAGAGCTCTGGAGAAGTCTTGGAGGCTGTTTTGGAAAAACACAGGCTGTGTATGTTTTGAAGCTTTTGGCCAGAACTGTCAAACCCATAATTGACTGCAGGCCTGCTGGTGAACTCACTCTACTCCCCACCATGCCATCCCTCTCACCCCCAGCACAAAACTACTGCTCCCTTCATCACCTGGCATTTGGGAGTCCCTCAAACAGATTTATACCTGGAGGCAACCTGCATATCTACCCCTGCCAGGAGGGTCAAGGGGAAAAATCCACTTCTTTATCTAGAAGGGATACATGTGGTGGTTGTTCAGCTTGCAAAGAAGTGGCACCCCTGAGGAGAAATATGTTCACCACCAACAGCTAAAGCCCTGCTGTCTTCTAGTTATTATTTCCTTAGACTCCAGCAAGCAAAGAAGAAAGGTCCTTC